GACCAGAATTCAATTCGTTTTGAAAATAAGCAACAATATGTTTGGTTTGAAAAACCCTATACAACTGATCCAATGAATATGGTATGATTGGAATGATAAGTTCTTACTCGTATTTGAGCCATTCACTTTCCCATGCGTAACAGCTAAGGTGCGATGGTCCCATCATTGACGTAGTCCGTAATGAGCATTAATCTGGTTATGTGGAGCTGAACTACTTTTGTCTTGACTGATTCATTGTCAATATTTAACTCGGCTTCAGCCCAAATTTGAATTAACATTGATTAAATTAAGAGATTTTATTGAGCTTCATTTAACCTTGGTTACAGCGATGGAGTGGGACAGTCCCGCGGCGAGGTTGAAGCCTTCATCGGCCGGGAAGGGCGCCTGCCAAGGCTCATGCAGCACCACGCGCAGCCCCGACCAGGGCGACAGCAACGACAGGTAGCTCGCCGCGTGCAGGTTCAGCGTCAGGCTCAGGCCGCTCTGGTCGTGTCGTTGTCAGGAGAAAATGCGAATTTATTTTGCTAAATTTAGTAGTTTTTGCTATGATGCAATGACAAGTGTTCCCGCTTAAGGTGGGTTGGTGAAGGATTATGTTGTTGTGTATGTTGTGTAGACTATAAGATTTGAAATTTAACAATAAATCTTTCTGGTGGGTAATTCGTTTGCAATGAATGTTGGTTTGTGCTAATAGTTCACATTCATTGTGAAATTCACATTAATGTCTACTCTAACAAAGCAATTAACATTTTTTTGAACCCAATTGCACTGGTAGAGATGTTAAAATGTTTTCTTGGGGAGTGGCTAACACGGTTTCATAGATATTGTCGATCAACTGTAAAATTTCAGTTTTAAATTTAATAAGGACATATTTATTTTTCGATAAATTTAAATTCAGAGCACATTTACTCTCATCCAATTTTTAAATACAATCTGAAATTTTTAGCAAAATAATTAGCCAGGCAATTTCAAACTATACGATTTATGTTTAAATTTAAATTAAATCCTTCTTCAAGTCGATATGTATAACTTGTATAGTAGTTAATATTTTGTAGTTAGGCAGATTATAAATAATAAATTGAATACTAAAGTACGTATACATTATTTTGATAATTCGATTTCCAATGTTAAAATATCCGCCAAAAAAGTAAACCTGAGGTCCTGTTTTATACGAAGCTCTTGGCTTGAAGTTCTTTCTGCGGTCTTCGATGCTGACGTTGGGGCTGGATTCTCTGACGAGGTGTGGGCTGTTGAACGTGTAGCAAACTCCCATATCTTTCGTCGTGTACGGGTGAAATAGTCTGAAAATGTTCACGTGGAAAGAGCCAGTAACAAATAATTGTATTCTAACTTGACTTTAATGGGTGCTTCGTTTTGATGAACCACGAATGGTGTTTTTGAACCAGCTATTGGCCATTGAATATGAAAAATTCATGGTCTATGATTTTGGAACTTAGAAAATATTGATTCGTATTTTTTTGTGTGCGGATAGACAAAGTATTTCTATGATATTCGCATTTGTTTGGAAACTGGAGATTCAGTGCGATAATTTTAAATCAATAAATCACCCTCGAAATTTTTTAATTAGATGCAAGGCCAAGAATAAATAGTTTACTTGTTGGAAAAGTGCAACGAAAATGATAGGAAACCTATTTAATAAACATTAATATAAAATTCATTGTAAATGATTCAAGGCTATGAGATATTTTTTGTTTGTTTTTCATTCCCAATTGAAACGTGAAAAAAAAAAACAAAATTAGTTCCTACAATCTACAGCTTTTTAATTCAAGTATTTTGCGAATTCAAGCGCAGTTTGCTAGACAGCGCAGCGTATTTGTTTAGTTTCTGCAGGTATCTGGTTATTTGACCGAGAGAGAATAGCTCTATATACATGTGATAGCAACATTAGTCATACTTATTATTGGCACATAACTTGTAATTGCAACATTACTTGTGTAATTGCAACTTTACTTAAAAAAGGTAACATAACAATACTTGTAAAGGCAAAAATTGCTTGCAATTGCAACATTACTTGTGTAATTGCAACTTTTCTTTTAAAAAAGGCAGCATAACAATACTAGTATATATAGGCAACATTTCTTGTAATTGCAACATTACTTGTAATTGCAACAGTACATGTTACTGCAACAGTACTTGTAATCGCAAAATTATTTGTAAAAAAGGCAACATAACAATATATGTATAGGCAAAATTACTTGTAATTGCAACATTACTTGTAAATGCAACATTACTTGCAATAACATTATTAATGATAGCAAAATTACTTGTAATTGCAATGGACGTTGTCGATGCTGCACACTTGGATGAAGTCTTCTCGTTTCCTCGCCGTCTTCTCGACCACGTCGCGGTCGGGGGCGAAGCGCCCCCTGAGGTCCGACAAGTCGTTCGTGCGGCTGCGGCTTACGAGGGCTTTTACTCGTTTGTCAGTCATATTGATTTCTTTAGCAGGCTGCCATAAATCTGAGAAGTGCATTGTTATTGATTATCGTCATAAATGGTACAGTTAAGTTTAAGAAGTTCGCTAATGCATACGTCGTTAAAGGCCACTAAAATCATACCAAAAAATCTAATATGCAGATTGAGAGAAACAACGAAATTTATAAAGAACAAGTACTCTCAGGTCTCCTACGAAACGTGTTATTGACAAGTACATCATTTTTTCCCATGCTGTGGCATCATTTTACATAATTTGTTTAGTATGGGTCTTTTTCTGATTTTCGATGTCTAGGAATTATTTACATTTAGAAGAAAATAGATATTTGAAAAACATCCAATATACTCACTCCGAAGATCGTGGACTCCTGATGAACAAGAAACGCTCACATGAGTGGCGTTGATGTAGGTCTCGTTGTAGGCTGTGAATCGTAGTATGTGATAAGCCGGATACAAGATTTATTGAGACCAAAAAGTTTAAATAAAGGCCTATTTAATGCTTAAATAGTCTTCAAAAATTTGTTACTATGATAAAAGGGCAACGATATATCCAAATGAGATCACGAACAAAATTTGTTAGGATTGTGAGCTGAGTTCCGAGCGAGGTTCCCAACCCTATTTTTAGTTTGTTAAAATTTTCAATTTGAACAAATGTTCAAATTTCGCGATCAGTTTTTCGAATTTTAACATGAAGCGATTATCTCTGGTGTGCGTTGGAATCATTTCGTAGGAATTACGGCTGTAAATATTTGGGAATATCATGCGAACATTGTCATAAAGGTTGTCAGATACGTTCATTGATGTGCTGATTGTACTCGTACATTAGCAGAACTTCTCACCACCAATAACAGCAACCCAAAAAATGTCAGAACCTACACATTACGATATTTTTTATCAAAACTGAACAATTTTATTTCAATTTCTAAACATGAAGTTTGTTGATGCCGCTAATATATCAGTTTCATATTCAAGTACATTGTATACTTCTGCAAAGTTTTTGGAGGCAATATTCCCGTTTTTAGGGTAACTCTAACAGAAATGGAAAGCCAAGATTTTTTTCCGTACATGTGAAACTGAAGATTTTTTTATACTGTACTTTTCCATTGTTCTGCTTCCATGGCTGCCTAAACTAAAAAAAATTGTCCATAAGTTTACTGCATACAATAAATCGAGTGTTAATAACATAACCACAAATAAAATATAATCAATCGAGCGTCAATAGCATAACTACGTGAAATAAATCAAGAATAGCGGCAGGTCAAAGCTTTTTCATTACTTTCATACTGCTGGAATCGCAAGGGTCGCATGATTCTCGAACTCGTGATCTCTTTTGACGTTCGTAGATAAACAATGAAATTTCGTTGGATAACTTCATTAAATAATTTATATCAAGGCCAACACAATAACTGGTCTCTAATAAAGATGGAAAGTATTATAGATTCTTATAATATGTGCATTCCGAAAAGGTCCCGGGATTAACCTTCATCACTTATCTCGGAATAAATGTATTAACTTTAAGATATGTGCGATCCAAAGAAGTTCAAGTCGCCCGATATACAAAAGAAAATCCGATCGCTCAAACTTGGAGGCAATTCGAACCCCCGATTCCGAATACTAGCTGATTCGCAGACACAATCTCTCGCCCGATCCTGAAGCAATCCGTTCGCCCGATCAGAAAGACAGTCCGATCTTCAGACCATAAAAGCAAGCAAACTGCCAGATCCCAACGAAAATAAGATCGAGGGAACCTGAGGTTGTAAGGTTGAGGAAATGAATAATTATTTATCTGAATTTCATTCATTAAAATGTTACTCTCTCAGAATTAATTTTCAATTCTCGGAATCGCAATATTTCAGACTTTTAATTTATAAAATGTATGCCTTTGCAGTCTGATTTTAAATACATATGCACAATATATAAATGTACGGGCATTTATAAAATTGAAACTAAGAGGTGATGGTCTTGGCACTACGCAGTCGCAATTTTTTGTCAGTTAGCTTTCCAATATATGTGCGGTCATGTCTTCCACATGCACAACGGTAAAATCCGGCGGGACGCAGTATAGACCCCTACATAGCCCTTACCCACAATTCAATATCTATTCCTTTCCGCTCGTAATCACGCTAGAGGGCATATTATCCTATGTGATTAAGTGCCTAAAGCCATAGGTGCCATTTCCTTTTCTGGAAATGAATCAATCAGCCAGATAACGTCAAGCCGCCGAAGCAACAGCCGTGGGCAAATAGCCAAACTGTTGCGTGCTTGTATTAAACACAGCCTGGCGTCTTCGCGGCTTTTGAAAATAAGCGCCCGACATAACAGCGCCGTTACGTCACAGCCACTGCTTCATCGCGCTCTACTCCACAGGCAGAAGCGCAAACCGCCGTCCCTATAACGCCATGCCCGGCTCTCCCCCTTCACAGCCACAAGGCTTTCCTCCATTGCTGATCAGTTGTTCGCCAGGTTAGGTTAGGTTTGGTTAGGTCCCTCCATCGCGCCAGGCGCATAACTGATCGGGCAACGAGAAAAGCCTTCTGCTGGCTGCGAAGGGGGAGAGCCGGGCATGGCGTTATAGGGACGGCGGTTTGCGCTTCTGCCTGTGGAGTAGAGCGCCATGAAGCAGTGGCTGTGACGTAACGGCGCTGTTATGTCGGGCGCTTATTTTCAAAAGCCGCGAAGACGCCAGGCTGTGTTTAATACAAGCACGCAACAGTTTGGCTATTTGCCCACGGCTGTTGCTTCGGCGGCTTGATGTTATCTGGGTGACTGATTCATTTCCAGGAAAGGAAATGGCACTTATGGCTTTAGGCACTTAATCACACAGGCTAATATGCCCTCTAGCGTGATTACGAGCGGAAAGGAATAGATATTGAATTGTGGGTAAGGGCTATGTAGGGGTCTATATACTGCGTCCCACGACAACCCTCTTCTGGCTGCCGGATTTGGGAGCGCAGCCCTACACCACAAATTTAGCTCATTAACAAGCCCTAGCGCCAACGCCTACCCTATAATGCAATAACTAAACTCAGCTCACACCCTAGAAGCTGCAGGAAACTGAGTCATCTCACCACACCAACTTTAAGCAACACCTACATTACTCCACAGCCTGCTGAATCAAATAGTCAATTGTCAACAGGTCCTACTCCACAGAATTTTACCCCTTACTATCACTTCTTACACACGCCGTAAGCCTTACTAGCCGCAGACCACGCCGGATCACCGTAAACCTGCTCTGCTATTTGCAGGACTGACGTAATCACGCCGCACTCCACGGGCAGAAGCGCAAACCGCCGTCCCTACAACGCCATGCCCCTGCTCTCCCCCTTCGCAGCCATAAGGCTTTCTTCAATTGCTGATCAGTAGTGCGCCAGGTTAGGTTAGGTTAGGTCCCTCCATCGCGCCAGGCGCATTACTGATCGGGCAACGAGAAAAGCTTTCTGCTGGCTGTGAAGGGGGAGAGCCGGGCATGGCGTTATAGGGACGGTGGTTTACGCTTCTGCCTGTGGAGTAGAGCGCGATGAAGCAGTGACTGTAACGTAACGGCGCTGTTATGTCGGGCGCTTATTTTCAAAAGCCACGAAGACGCCAGGCTGTGTTTAATACAAGCACGCAACAGTTTGGCTATTTGCCCACGGCTGTTGCTTCGGTGGCTTGACGTTATCTGGCTAATTGATTCATTTCCAGGAAAGGAAATGGCACCTATGGCTTTAGGCACTTAATCACACAGGCTGGATAATATGCCCTCTAGCGTGATTACGAGCGGAAAGGAATAGATATTGAATTGTGGGTAAGGGCTATGTAGGGGTCTATACTGCGTCCACTTAATCACACAGGCTAATATGCCCTCTAGCGTGATTACGAGCGGAAAGGAATAGATATTGAATTGTGGGCAAGGGCAATGTAGGGGTCTATACACTGCGTCCCACGACAACCCTCTTCTGGCTGCCGGATTTGGGAGCGCAGCCCTACACCACAAATTTAGCTCATTAACAAGCCCTAGCGCCAACGCCTACCCTATAATGCAATAACTAAACTCAGCTCACACCCTAGAAGCTGCAGGAAACTGAGTCATCTCACCACACCAACTTTAAGCAACACCTACATTACTCCACAGCCTGCTGAATCAAATAGTCAATTGTCAACAGGTCCTACTCCACAGAATTTTACCCCTTACTATCACTTCTTACACACGCCGTAAGCCTTACTAGCCGCAGACCACGCCGGATCACCGTAAACCTGCTCTGCTATTTGCAGGACTGACGTAATCACGCCGCACTCCACGGGCAGAAGCGCAAACCGCCGTCCCTACAACGCCATGCCCCTGCTCTCCCCCTTCGCAGCCATAAGGCTTTCTTCAATTGCTGATCAGTAGTGCGCCAGGTTAGGTTAGGTTAGGTCCCTCCATCGCGCCAGGCGCATTACTGATCGGGCAACGAGAAAAGCTTTCTGCTGGCTGTGAAGGGGGAGAGCCGGGCATGGCGTTATAGGGACGGTGGTTTACGCTTCTGCCTGTGGAGTAGAGCGCGATGAAGCAGTGACTGTAACGTAACGGCGCTGTTATGTCGGGCGCTTATTTTCAAAAGCCACGAAGACGCCAGGCTGTGTTTAATACAAGCACGCAACAGTTTGGCTATTTGCCCACGGCTGTTGCTTCGGTGGCTTGACGTTATCTGGCTAATTGATTCATTTCCAGGAAAGGAAATGGCACCTATGGCTTTAGGCACTTAATCACACAGGCTAATATGCCCTCTAGCGTGATTACGAGCGGAAAGGAATAGATATTGAATTGTGGGTAAGGGCTATGTAGGGGTCTATACTGCGTCCCATTGCAAGAAACATTCTCAAACAGCGATGCACTTTTTGCGCTTGTGTTGGTAATCCTGACCCAGTTTTACCATTGAAAAGGGTGCCTGGATATCCTTAACGCGCTTTAAAAAGATTTTCACTCATAAGATTTTCGATTCGATGTCGTCGTGGAATGAGTGCAATTGAAAAGGCTTCATTGCATCACATTTTCTGTCTTATATCCTATTTTTAGTGCGTCATCAATCTTATTAGTATAAATGAATGATTTTTCATGAGGAACGAATACTTAAAAAATGTAAGTTCTGAATTATAAAAAATTTCTCTTAAAATTTTCATACTTAGGTATTCCTAAGTAACAAAAAAGTATCCGTAGCCAAGGACATGCATAAATTTCACGAACGGAACGACATGGCAATTCAATGTAATTGTATCACAGTTTATGCAAACCAAATATGATTGATGTACCAACCTCTGTTGATATCGGTGTAGTTCCCAAGTAAATCCTCGTAGACTTTTTCGAATTTTTACACGACGCGACACGCAATGGATTACCTCTGGTGTGCGTCAGGATTATTCCGTAAGGATTACGGCTATAAATATTTGTATATATCATGCGAGCATTATCGTAAAGGGTGGCCAGATACGTTCATTGATGTACTAATTGTACTAGTATATTAGCATAACTTCTTACCACTAATGACAGCAATCCAAAAAACATCAGAACGTGCGCGTTACAATCTTTTTATCAAAACTAATTTGCATGCATGAAGTTGATTGTTGGAGCTAATGTATCGTTTATAACATCTATATTTGCATTAAAAAGTTTTTGGAGGCAATATTCCCGTTTTAGGGTAACTTTAACAGAAATGGAAATCCAAGATTGTTTTCCATGTGCAACTGAAAATTTTTTATTCTTCTCCATTGTTTCGTTACAATGGCTACATAAAATGAAAAGAAATATCCACCACATAACTGCCTACAATTATAAATCGAGTGTTAATAACATGCCTACCTATACAATATTATCAATCGAGCGTCAATAGCATAACAACATGAAATCAATCAAGTGTTTATAACATAACTACCTGAAATCACTCAAGTACCATGACCAGTCAAATCTGCTGCATTACTTGATTAAATGAATTTCGAACTCGCGATCTCCTTTGGTATTGATTGATAAACAATCATAAAATAATTCGTATCAAGGCCAACTCAATTACTGGTCTCGAATAAAGATGGAGAGTATTATAGATTCTTGAAAATTGTGCATTCCGAAAAAGGGTTCCGGGAGTAATCTTCCCACACTCATCTCGGAAAAAATTTAATAATTTCAATCAGTTATACGATCTAAAGACGTTCGGGTCGCCCTTTACAAAAGAAAGTCCGATCGCCCGAACTTAGAGGCAATTTGACCCCCGATTCCAAATACTGGCTGATTACCCGATTTTAAATACCAGCTGATTCACAAACAATCTCTCGCCCGATCCCGAAGCGCCCGATCACATAGACAGACCGATCTTTAGATTATAAAAAGCAAGCAGACTGCCGGAACCCAACGAAAATAAGATCGCGCAAACCTAAGCTTATGAGGTCGAGGAAATGAAGAATTATTTATCTGAATTTCATTCATTAAAATGTTACTTTCTCAGAATTACTTTTTCAATTCTCAATATCGCAATATTTCTGGCTTTTAATTTATAAAATTTATGCCTTTACTATAAAATCCGGCAGCGAGAAGAGGGTTGTCGGCACAACACTTAAAAGTGGGTATATAGCCGGTGATGCAAGTCGCGCTCGGACAAATGAAGAAACATTGCTCAAACAGCGATGCAATTTTTGCGTTTGTGTTGGTAATCCTGACCAAGTTTTGCCCTTGAATAGGGTGCCTGGTTACCCTTGTCGTGGTTATCCTTAACGCGCTTCAAAAAGATTTTCGCTCATAAGATTTTCGATTTGACGCCGTCGTGGAATATGTGCAATTGGATATACTTCTTTGCATCACATTTTCCATCTTATTTCCTATTTTGTTGTGCGTCATCAATCTTATTAGTATGAATGAATGATTTTGTATGAGGAACGAAGACTTAAAAATGTAAGTCCTTAATTATATAACAAAAATTATCCCTTAAAATTTACATACTTCGATATTTCAATGTTACAAAAAAGTATCCGTGGCCAAGAAAGACATGCATAAATTTCACGAACGGAATGACATGGCAATTCGATGTAATGTAATTGTATCACAATTTATGCAAACCAAATATGATTGATGTACCAACCTCTGTTGATATCGGTGTAGTTCCCAAGTAAATCCTCGTAGACTTCTTTTCTGCAGACTAGGTTGTAACGAATGGTGACAGACTTATTTTTCCACGCCTCTTCTCGTTTGAATAGGAAGAAACGTCCGAATCAATTGAAATATGAGCACGAATCAATTTTTCATGGGATGTGTCGCTAAATAATGTGTTCTAAAATGCAAGAAATCTACTGGGTCTCAGGGAATAAAAAAAGTTCAAGTTACTCAGCAAATGAAAAATTAAATCTATGAACGGTAGCTCCTCGAAACTCTGAGACATTTAACAGGTACCAGTATTATGATTAATTGGTTGCTTGAATCAAATATTGTCCACGAATTATTAGCCAAATTGATTAAAAGTATATTCACCGTATAATTATTTAATGAAAACGGTTCTTAAAACCAGCACCTTCATCATGTTTAAGTATTTTTGATTTTGAAATGATTGAGCTGGTTAAGGCAACTTTTTCGGTAAAAATATGGTGACTTTTTTTAAATCTTCTCAGGCAGTAAAATTTTAGCGCATTGCCTTTTTTTAAATTTGGAGTAGCCATTTGGCTTTTGATTACTAATTCTGAAGAAGACAAATAAAATAGAAACGAAAATTTACTTCTACTAAGTTTAGATATAAATTGCTATTTTCTTAAATTGCCATTGGCATCCTATAGTTGCTATTTCTACTATTTCCATCAGTCGCAATTGCAACGAATGTAAACAATGTTGACGGTACGACGTATCTCACCAACGTTTGCGCAGAACTGCATGTTCCCAACACTTTTGACCAGTTCGCTGATAGCGTAATCCACCGTGCCCACATCCGTAGCAAAAGTGAAGTTTTTCTTTGTCTGCTCCTCAAGCTTTGTTTGGTACTGGTAGATGAAGCTACACTGCAACCGCTGAAAGGCTTTGTCCTTTTCCATGTATGGAGACNGCATTAACTGGAATGATCGTTGGGATATCAGGAAGAATGGAGGCATTAACTGGAATGATCGTTGGGATATCAGGAAGAATGGAGGCATTAACTGGAATGATCGTTGGAATAACAGAAACAATGGATTCATCACCTGGAATGAGCGTTGAAATAACAGAAACAATGGATTCATCACCTGGAATGAGCGTTGATATAACAGAAACAATGGATTCATCACCTGGAATGAGCGTTGATATAACAGAAACAATGGATTCATTACCTGGAATGAGCGTTGATATAACAGAAACAATGGATTCATTACCTGGAATGAGCGTTGGATTAACAGAAACTTAATCGTGCATTTATCTAAACGATAAATTTCAAAATTTACCGGTAATTTTATTAGATATCAGAAGAAAACAAACAGCAGTTATTCGAAAAATTGCGCAGTCAAAATAAAATAAAACGCTTCAGCTACGCGTGAAATGAAACCGAAATATTTCTACGTAGCGGAAAATAATATTGCATTATTACATAAATACAATAATATTTATAAATATTCATATATTTTTTATAGTAAGCGGACAGAAAACAACAGTAAATAATTTTTGGGCTCAGAATGGGCTCAGAATTTTTGGGATCAGAATGAAATATTCGATAGATGGTAATAAATCTAAACAAAAATGTTAGCTGTGGCCTATTGAAAATTGTGCATTGCAATCATACAGTCATTTTTCGTTCGGTAACGAAAGAAATTATTCATCACTATGAGAATAAATAATTAATTGCATAAGCGGATCGAGTGTTCACCAGTGACTGTGTTCTTTTCCTGCACGTCGATGAAGGCGCCATAGACGGAGTCGTTGCGGAGCTTCTCTTCGTTGTTGATGGGGTTCAGGTTGCATAGAGTCACCGCTGGAAACTGCGCCGGGCGCTCCGTTTGAAGCTGAGATAAAATTTGTGTTATTTATACAATTTTGATTAAAAAACATTTAAGTTTTGGTGCTCAAAGCAGGTACACTCATTGAAATACGCATTCAATGAAATTAAATTGGTTAAATGAAAATTGAGGCTCTTATTGCTTTCTTTCGGCAAGCCAGGGCCGATTCGTTTCAAGTCTGAGTTGTGACCGAATAGACCGATTGCGAAAACGAGGATAGGTAAAGATTTCACTGTTATATAATATGGACATACAAAGGGAAGTAATGGTTTGGGCCTGAACTTGGTACAGATTGTGAAGCTGGCTAAACCTGAAGCTTGAAGGGAGGGTTTCTTTGATTTTGAACTCATTTTGTAGCTGTAAACTAAGTGCCTCTAACACAGCAAATCCTATTTTTATGCTTCAAATTTGAAATGACTCATTAAATTTCTAAGTTATAGTGAATTTATAATTTCCGACAATCGGTATATATAATATATTTAAAAGTTTTATGTATAATGATTGTTATATGCACGCCAACCTTGTTAAATGCACGAGTCCTGTGTTGCAAGATGTAGCATGCAATTCATTACGAGTAATAGACATTGGGAAATCTAGAGATCCATTGCCTAGTAATTTTTACTCTATACATTTGAACACTGTTTCGATATTTTTTTCTCATAAAAAATGAAAATTGAAAATGAAATTTTATCATTCTGGAACTAGAGCATTGAGAGACATTTCCTCATTCGATGCATTATGCCAAAATCAATCTTCTCTGCCGTCATTTTCATTATTTATTTATTTTCAAGGAGACATAAGGTAACAAATTTATGGGAGATGGAGGGACAAAAAAATCTCCCCCTCCCATAAATGAGTAAAAATTAAATTTAAAGAACAGCTGTTAGGTCGATAATCATAAATTTGCATCACATATAAAATTAATTTCAATGTTTTTAAGTATTCAACTTTGTGAGTTTAAAATTTTCACAAAGACCCCCATATCACGATTTTTAGAACAATTTCACGTGTATTCAATTTTTTCTAATTCATACAAATAAAATGTACCTGCACTATAGAGTGTTTAACATGTTTATATGAAGTTTCAGAAAAAACTTTCAATTTGCAAACGATTCATATTACCCTGACCCTAAACTCTGATAAAAATCCTGAAACTTTTTGTTCGTCGGCTGGGCAATCGTAGTTAGAATTAAAATAAAATAATCAATAGTAAACTTGAATTCCATCACATACTTTTCTAATCTGGGCATTATTTGGGTATTAAAAATCGTGGAGATTACTTTCTGAACTTGCAACTGAGGACATATCATTATAAGGACATATCATTTATCATATCAGGATACACATAGAAGTAAAGCCGAGCACATTTATGCGATATATATGTTGGATCAAATTTGATTCCTGCTGCTTTCGTAAAAATTTTGGCAACAACTCCAGAATTTCGTTTTAAGGATAATTCAACGCAATTTTACTGTACAGTGAACCTGATCCTATGATTACTTCATGGCATATTCTACGTACTTTATGTGAAACCCCTGTGCGTGCAAGCTGATCTACGCATCATTGGTGAACTGGATACCGAAAAATACTAGACCTGCAAGGTAGCTCAATCAGTCTTATATCGTTTCTAAGAAACCTGAAATAAATCTTTTTATGTCTTACCTGAACAGACACAGCTTTGGGGTACCCTATGTACTCATTGTAGACTTCGTAGCACTGCATGAGGCCATACACCGTGCACAAAGTAAAGAACGCCAACCATACCAGCCGACGCAACCAATGACGGGCACTGAAACAAAAACAATACACGTTGGAACTCGTCGGATAATCAAGGAATTTGTGGGTTATTTTGACAATCTCTAGAACTTTTGACAGTTTCTGGGCTGGGAGGTGCTTTTGTTGCTACAAATCTTGAAAACCAACCATAAAAAATCAACACTTTGACCACTTGAAGGCTAACAAATAATGCAAAGAAAACAAACTAAAATGCTTCCAGTTACCCGCATGTCTGGCTTATGCCATCCAAAGTGACGGTTTCCAGGAACTCTTTGGTGCGGGTCTTCACCTTCGTCCAGCGGGTCTCTGGCTCGACCGGCGCGTCGAAGTCAGACGGCGGTTGTTCCCACGAATCTTCGTCACTGAATCAAAGTTAACAAGTTTATAAAATCATTTAGGTTTTAGGTGCAAAAAACACTGAAAATTCAGTATTTATATACTCACATAGCAGATGTAATGAGTAAAATACTTCTCATGTGTGGAATAAAAAAAAAAACAAATAAAAAAACTTCAAAAACACGTTTTCTTACGGACAAAAAAGAAAAACATTAACTCTTACATAACATTACATAACATTCTACATAACTTTAATGTTATGTGAGAGTTAATGTTTTTCTTTTTTGTCCGTTAAGAAAACGTGATTTTTAAAAGTTTATTTATTTATTTTATTTCATCGTTTTTAGTTTTGTAACCACCAGAAAAACGTGGTTAAAAAATAAATATAAAAACGTGGTTTTTTAGATTTATTTATTTTCTACTTTTTAGTTTAGCAATTTTAGCAGTTCAAATCATTGTCCAGGGTTTGCAACTCTGGATGTCAAAAAAAACTCGATTCCCAACCGTGAATTTTTAGGGTTTTTTTCGATTAAAAAAATTTAAACTTATTACTTCCGATAATTAAATTTTGAATTGTTAGGCAGCATAAGCCTGCATGCCAAATTTCAAGTTTCTAGGATCTTCAGAAGTGCTCTAAATTAAGGTTTGAATTTTTGATGACAGACAGAGACGAAACGGAACTAAGAAAAACGTGGTAAAAACCCTACTATCTGTTTTCGAGAAACCACAGTATGGTGAGCTAGATACAAGCAATAACGATTTTTTTTTGTCTCTCAAATGTCAGAAAATACCGGCCCAATGAACGAATTCATTCTTAAAACTTTGAAAAAAATCCTCACATTAAACTAGAAGGTTTGCTTAGCCAATCAATGTGTTGGGTTCAGAGATCCAACGACGGAAAATTATAGACTTGATACCGGCAAAGCATGTTAAGTATCGGCAAGATTGCAAACTGCTATCGAATCTTGAGCCTATGTTGCTAGATAGGCTCAAAGTTTAGCTTATATTGTACGATAAGCAAAGTTTCGCGTACTATATTGCTTGATGTGTCAAAGTTTCGCTCATGTTGCAATATGCTGTATAAGTTTTGGTAATATTGTATAAGTTTCGTTTATATTGAAATATGCGCTAAAGATTAGCGTATATTGAAATCTAAGCAAAGTTTCGCTTATACACTCCCAAGCCGCACTGTTTACTCGCGGTGATTCGTGCTTGATTGCTATACTGGCACTTCCAGATCATATACGAACCCAGGGCAATGAACGTTAAGCTGCTGCTTAAAATCAACTTCTAATTTCCTTAAGCTTTTCCTAATAATTTGTCGTATTTTCTCCTGCAGAAATGTCGGTTTCAGTAATCTGAGCATGTTGACTTATATACAAGGTGATTCACGTTAACTTATTGTTTTGTATTCCGCGCCAAGCAGACAGATGTTAAAGGAAAGGGACGATAAGTATTTCATATGGAAGGCAAGGTCACAAAGTTTTGTGTCCCGCCTAGTCAGTTGCCACTATGCATTGGACAAGTGAGCAGCGTGCGTTTGCTGTCGAAGCGTACTTTTATTACATCCGTTCCATTTTCGCTACTCACCGAGCATTTCGTACTCGTTCCGTATTCATCCTTTGGGCCGGGTTTCTTATCGGCTCAGATCCTGATCGAGTTCCGATTTGGCTCCCTGTGATTTTTTATTGGCTCATCTCGTATCAATCGTTTACAATGACTTGTCAAGGACTCTACCTCATTTGAGGAACAACATGCACCAAGCCATCGCCAATACACCCGTCAATATGCTCAGCGAATTGAAGGGAACTTCAAAAATCGACTAACTTCGTGCATTGATAATGGGGCCGTAATTTACCCGATGTCATCTTCGTCCGATGTCATCATGAATAATTTGTCCGATGTCAACCACACTTAACTACCACACTTGTCAACCACACTATGTTGTTGTGACATTGTAAGTGCACTCCATTTGCTTTGCGAGACGTGATTATTAAATTATGTGTTTATTATTAATAAACATACGTGTTTGTTTTCAATAAACACACGATCATTCTTTAGGCTCTGTTCTGTTCTGCAGCATAACCATCGTAAATCAGTGAAGTTACTCGTGATTATATATAACAGGAAGTCGATTTAATTTTTCGCGACATTGTACCATGAGATCGCACTTGTAGTCAAATAACTGTTTTTATGAAAACCAATTCTTTACATACGTCAATCTCTATAATTTTTAAACTTTTAACATGGACTCTTTGTTATAGTGATCATCAAAGAGTGTCAATATTTTTTAACTAAATGGAACTTGAAGATGAGTTTTTGAGCAATTATATCCTATGTACGTTCGTTGTCCACGAAATCTAGCGCATCTAGCGGTGAAATTCACGATCAAATTTAATTTGAAGTTCATGCACTGTGAAAAAGATGAATAAAAACGACAGGGGCAATGAACGTCGAGTCGACGTGCATGAATGACATTGGCTGCATATTTCGCTATCTTCTGTGATCACTTTTTTTTGCATTGATTGCGGCTCAGGTTTACAGTCGCTAAATCGTGTATATATTCGATAGAACAAAGAGAATAGACTATTCAATTTTCTTAAAAAACTGAAGTGAATTCTAACTTTTCATAACCATTGTTCAAGTCTATTCACTAGAACCCCAATTCTTATAAGATGGTCATATTCTTGTGGACTAAAACAAAAAACTTTATGTATCATTTCATCAAAATAATGTTCCAAATGATAAATTCGCATTTCAAATCAATTACAAAAAAATAAAATCCATTTGATTTGCAGTCGCAATTCAGTTTTTGTCATTGACAACAGGAATTGTTCATAGTGTTTTGGAACTGTAGAAAAATGAGCTTTAAACAACTACTATATACTTAAAAAATACTTCTTCTATTCTTACTACAGGAAATATTTATGCTAGTGAAATAGATGAAAAATGAGTTTACTATTAGGCAAATAAATCCTTATATCGCTATAAATTACTGAAAGCCAAAAAGAAATATTCAGAAGTACAGGGATCTCAAGACCGTGTCTTGAGATCCCTGCTTAGTCTTAACGCAGTCTTAGCACTACGTTACTTTATAAATCTTTCCTTTCCGTTAATAATATATTAACGCAAATGAAATTAGATCCATAGTTTGCCCCAGTTTGTTTGTTATCTCTACTGTTCCGGATACTATATTAAAAATTATTAAAAACATGATATTGGGCCTTCACTAAATTCCTCGTATCACACCTCACTGATTATGTCGCGCGTATTAAATGTTCGCCAAGCATCAGAGGATATAATTAATTGAGTAAATCTACGCAAATGTAATAAGGTCCATGGTTTATCACAGTTTCGTTTATTAATTGTCTCCAGTGTTCCGGATACTATATTAAAAAATTATTAAAAACATGATATTGGGCCTTCACTAAATTCCTCGTATCACACCTCACTGATTATGTCGCGTGTATATTAAATGTTCGCCAAGCATCAGAGGATATAATTATTTGAGTAAATCCAGCAATTTATGAAGCTCCTAATTCATTGATGCATCAATACGAGAGTTTTAGCCTTCAGATCATTTGTAGAGTTTTGGGTCGCGAGTTTTATTTCTTGCATCAAATTATTGAGGTACCCGAGTTAATATGAGTGAAATATTTTCATTATGGGAGTAAAATTGAGTTTAAATTTATCAATATCAATAGTATAAATCGTCAAAAAATAGTACGTGTTTACAGGATTGGATATTTCCAGCCAATCACTACGGGATTTTCATGATAAATAATAAAAAACCTTGGCTTTTGGTTGCGGTTAACCCCATTTTTTGTCGGTTTTCCTTTGCGGAAAAACTTTTGTTTTTGGCTTCGTTGTTCTTCGGGGGGTTGAGGTTTTCCTTTTGACCGTTTGTTTGCCTTTTACTGTACACCGTTTATAGTATATTTATACTGCGGTCTTTTGTCCTGTCGAGCCATGATTACGGGGTACAAAAAATTTCCACGCGGCTCTATCCATTTCTTTGTTAATCAACACTCCTTGATTCACGGCAATCGATCTTAAATACCGGTCGAGAGAATAAATTTGTACCTACACGCCTCATATTCTGAAAATTCAGATAATAATAAAATCAAAATTCAAACAGTGTTCGGTTATTCTACTTCACAATTGCAATTCTTTCTGAAAATTTGCGACTGAATTTTTAAATTCAAAACATCTTTGACATATCATTACGACTCAAAAATTTTGATTTAAAAAATGATAATTAATGCTTTCTTCATTAATCGATCTCATTTAATTTCAAGAACAGATTTAAGAATACTTGTACTCTTCGATCTCCTATTTTACTCATGCAGTTTGTTTAAACAACGCGCAGTGAAGACATAATTGATTGACAAGCAGAACGATGGCACGACGCAATTACTCGACTTTGCATCAGTGACAGGATTTAATGGAGTATACATACATTAATTGAAAAATTTTTAACGTGACAAGGTTGTAAAATCAATAGGTTCCATCAGGGTTGACGATAAGATATGAAGCTCATGCTGGTAAATCCACAGATGAAGGGTTTTTACGGTGGTTTATGATGCCCGAAATACAATAAAATAACTCGTAAATTTTCTTTACATTTCCGTGTGTGTGTGTAAGACAAGTGACTGCACTCACCACAGGTATCCATGATACATGGCCCATTTCTCGTCCTTTGAGCTCCGCACGAAGTGAACTTCGGCCTCCATGGTCGCCGACTCTGGCGAACTCATCGTGAATTTGTGTCTTCAAGATCCTGAATGAAAGAAGAAAACAAAGAGTTATATCCTCAAAAATAATTCAATTAATAATTAATTTCCCGCTCCATGTACTTCGGAAATAAGTATATTTTGTTTGGTTGTAGCAATATAAATATTGTTGACATTATTCTGATTTTATAGCAGGTTTATGACTTATTAGGAACACAATCACCTGAACCTGAAGAAAGAAAAGCAACTTAAAAAAATTATAATTATGAATTCACAATTATTATAATTATGTTTTGGAAAATCGGAATATTTTCCAAAACATGGATGCGCGTCAAAAAATTCAGACAAGATATAATTTTCTTCATTTATTTAGTTGATTATATCCTGTGCGCAACATCTAGTTGATTTATATAGGCCTATTCGTAACAACATCAACTGGCTGATTTTATTATTCTGCTCGTTAGAACCTTACGTAATTGGCATTATAAACCTGTTCAAAACGGTATAATGTAGTTAAATGCCATTAATTTATTCACTAAAATATTAGAAGCTTCACATACTAAGCCTTTTCGTAACAAAACACATAGTCGACTACAACACCACGGGATATCTTACAATAGTTAATACAATGAGCTTTCGCTCCGCACTTACCTAAGAAGCTCCACGCAAGGCGAGGGCACTTTACAGACAACGGCCTGGTTGCAGTCGGTGAAAGAGCGAGGGCCAATTGTGGCTATTAACTTTTTCTGACCGGGCTGTTGCTCGATATTTCACACAATAGAATTCCATTGTAAATTAGTACCTTCAGTCATAATTACAGTGAAGAAAAACGCACACTAGTTAGCCTGGATTTAACACAATCGTATTAGATTTTGTTCCTTTCTTTATATCAAGTATTCATACAACTTATTTTGAAGTCAGATGAAATGAAGATAATACATAATTTTTAAAACACAAACACTTATATATTTCACAAACATTTTGAAACACAACAAACATTTTGTTTATTTATACATTCACAAACATTTTGAAACACAAACACAACATATTTTTATTCACAAACATTTTGAAACGAACATCAACAGGCACCCCTTTGTCTGATCACAGTAACGGTGTACCTTCAAGTGACTGTAAAAACGTCACTTCAGTTCATTTCAGTCCAATGTGTGGACTGGCTTAATGCTTCAACTCACCATATTCAATTGTTGAATAATTCCTGGTAATGTCGCGGTGGTCAAATAGGAATAACGTTGGCATTAAGGAGTGAATTATGAAGGATGGAATACAAAGGAGAGTCAATGCGGGGCGACAGCGATCCTCGAATCGAAGATATTGCGGAAATAATAGAAGTTCATAAGATTTTTACAATAAGCTCACCGTACGACAGAATCGGGATGTTATGAAATTTGCAAGCACTGAAGTCAGTCACGCCACAATGTCTACGTATATCATAGACAGGGGTTACTGCATAGGCCGTATGCATCAGTTGAACCTAAGCCGTCTCAGCAATGACCATGCTGAAGTGCTCAATGAATGAGAATTATACTGAGCATTACTTTTAAATTAATTATTTATACTTTACTGTTCTCACCAAGATCATGTTCGTTGCATACAATTCCTGCTGCACGGATGGTTTTGCTGCGGTACCTATACACTAATAATATATAATATATTAGTCATTATACGTGGAACAGAAACAACGAAAATATTAAAAGCTCATTAAATGGAAAGTAATGAATAAATTTTGATGGGAATCCTGCACAAAAATGATTGGTAACAATGCTTAAACTATTAAACTATTACACTGAAACGGTCTGAATATGTAGACGTGACAAGATGTTAAAGAACGTAGTTAATAATCTGCCAGATATGTTCGTAAATCATTAAATCGGACTAAAACAAAATTGAACATTTCGTGCTAACAGATTTGATACATTTTCAGGCAAGCTAGTCACGTCAACTCTTAGTACTAATTTTGCCATCAACACCGAACACGAGAAAAATGTTAATTTTACACCTGCTTAATGGCAAACGAACTTGAATCTTCACCAAATTTGATGAATATGTTAATTTAACGCAGGCGCATTGGCTGTAATAATTTCAGGAGAGTGGGTTTAATCGATTCTCAATAGGGATTTCTTGATACCTTTGCTGGCGCAAACTCCTGCACACCCATAATAATAATACAGCGGTTTCAACGTTTATTAGGCCGTAGGCCTGTCGCCGATTCTTAACATCGGAGTAAATTTACTGCTTGTTGCAGTCTCGAACTCACAACTCACTGCTCCAATTCTGCTATGCTTAACCGCCCGGCCTCCTCGCCGATTCTGACCAGAAACTGGCGCACGGAGCTGGGATCGAACCCGCGCCTCTCTCAATCATTTTCCAGGGTTGGCAACTCTAGATGTTTTAAAAAAAGGATCTCCAGAAATGCTAGGATCTTCAGAAGTGCTCTAAATTATGGTTTGAATTTTTGATGACAGACAGACACGAAGCGAAACTAAGAAAATGTAATAAAAATAATAATAATAATAAATAAAATAGAAGATATTGCGCGCCCTTGATGAAAGTCAAAGCGCCCGAGTTTTTCGCTCTGCGTGCCGCACGTATCCCAACAAAATTTGAGAAAATTAAGGTTTAATAAACAAAAAAAAAACTATCATGCATTTGCATTGTTGAAGAAAATTACATCGCTCCTACATACTGATTAGAATACGAAAACGGAGCAACTTTTCGACACTATTGCCCTTTTCTAACATAATGGTACAAATTAGCATATTCGCCCGCCAAGTGCATGCAACAGGCTTTCGATGTATAAACACAAGCAAGTAACTCAATACCTGAAATGGTCAGTAAATAACTGCCCCTTAACTTGCAGAGGTGGGCAGTAGCGCGCTACATGTAGCGGTAGCGGTCTAACCTGTACTAGTTTGCGCTACATTTAAGCAATTGTAGCGGTAGCGCCCGCTACATATTTAAGTAGCAATACGAGGTTTTGACGCTACAGCGCTACCGCTACATTTATTGATAAAGCCTTTAGATTTTACTTAATAGTATTAAATATTATTTAAAAACCAGCATGATACATATTAAAACATACATAAAATAAATTACAGAATAAAACTGTACGAAAGATTTCGGTGTAATGTTGTCACCCTCAGCCTGTTACTGGTGTCAACATGTTTGTTGTTACTCGTTCAAGTTGTTACCAGTTACAGGTATTTTTTCATGTTTCAGTTTGCTCACAGTTATTTTTATGTTTCACCTTCCCTAAATGGATGTCTACTTTAATCTACCAATCTCAAAAATAATCCACATATATATACAAATAAAAGACTGATTTTTATATGTATATGTGGATAATTTTTGAGATTGGTAGATTAAAGTAGACATCCCTGTAGGGAAGGTAAAACATATAAAGTAAATAACTAATTTTTATTTACTGTATCTAACCAGTACTAGTTTGGTTAGGTTAATTGCAATAAAGTTGCATTGATATGTTTTGAAAATGTTATATTACCATAAAATGTTTATGAGTAAACCCCAATAGCAGAACAATAAATATTTAGAGATTTCCAATAATTTTGGCCATTGTAGCGGCGCTACATTTTACTGTAGCGGTAGCGCCCGTTAAAATCTAGTGGGCGTAGCGGTAGCGGTAGCGCCCGCTACATTTAGAGCATGTAGCGGTAGCGGCGTTACATTTCAAAGTAGCGCTGCCCAGCTCTGCCCTCAAGGTTGCCTGGAGTAGTTGTGTCGAATTATCGCGACGCATCAATTCAAAAATACGAAATTCTGCTTGATCGATCCCCGAGTCTCGTGAGCTCGCTATAACAGGTTTAAATTTTATTTACACGCAGGCGTTGTCAGTAGTTTGTGAATTGCGTGCTGTCTAGTCGACAGAATATTGTTTTTTATGACAATTAAACTGAAGTAGTAAAACTATTCTTTTCGCATTATTTTACGACTGAACGCTAGGAAACCAAACGCATTCGGAGGACCAAAAATTTATGTAAAATTGGGAATGATATTATTTGGCAAACTTGTTCCTTGAAATTCCAAATTTCTCATGTTATTTTTCTGGCATTTATCCCAGGTTTTGAGAGAAATTAAAATTGCGCATTTGAAAAAGGCATAACATAAGTTGACAATGTATGTAGAAGAATGTCTGATCAAGCATTTTACGCTCACAAAGGTTTGGTGAGAAATCGTGTTGTAATTTCTTCACTATAGAAGAATTATTCAATGCAAATTGCCCATACAGCATATTTTTGGGAGCAGCGTGTTGGGCACGACTTAATTCATCTTATATCCAAACCAAGTACATGCGGCGATTCATACATATATTTGTGTTTAGGATTGACATGCACAGGAACTTATGCATATCCGTCTGTTCAAGCGTCTTCGGATCCGACTTAAAGAAAACGTGATTTTCGATATACGATCATGGTTTACAATTATATCCTTTACTATCGCTGCGGTGATTTTTAACTTTTTCCATCTGAATAATTTAGAACATTAATAGACTACTATTATAATATAGATTAAAATGTATTATTGTTTTTATTTTTATATAAACTTTCAGCTACATGCACTTCAGAAATTAGGTAGCAGCAAAGTCAGATGAACAATCTTTGTACGTTTAAAATACGACGATTTTAAAGGTATAACACGATGCAGTCTGTAGTCGATGCAGTCGTCGTGTAGTGACGTACACGTCGCTACACGATTGCAGTCTGTACTTAATGTACCTAAGATCAAGCGCACACTGTTGTGTTGAAAAAAAACACAACATTCGGTCAGTTTTTTCCGATATCTTAGGCCCCAAGGCATGTTCGGAGACGACCTTCGTAAACTGGAATATGGGTCGATCCGGTTATACCGGATCCGGTAATATGTGTGCCGTGTATTCTGGACAAGGACAACGCGTATTCTTAGACCACATAACTGAGGTTTAAGAGACTCACTTAACTAAAGTGGAACACAGCAATTGCGACATGTCCAATCTTATTTACCGCGAGCAACTGCGACGTGTCAAATCTTCTTTACCGCAAGCAACTGCGACGTGTCAAATCTTCTTTACCGCGAGCAACTGCGACGTGTCAAATCTTCTTTACCGCGAGCAACTGCGACGTGTCAAATCTTCTTTACCGCACCCATATCCATAGCGTGGACTACTGAGATGCGTAGTATACGTGGTCCACTTAACAGTGATTCGAAAAAATTGGTTTGGCTCCATAGTTGATAATGAATGCAAATTGATATCAAAGTAGAGATAAAATCTTGATAATTTTGCGAACTTCCAAAATCTCGCAATACATTGCCCAGTTTATTACCACGTTTTTCTTGGTTTCGTTTCGTGTCTGTCTGTCATCAAAAATTCACACCTTAATTTAGAGCACTTCTGAAGATTTTAGAAACTTGAAGTTTGGCATGCATGCTTATGCCGCCTAACAATTCAAGATTTGATCATCAGAAATAATAATTTGAATTTTTTTTTAATTTAAGAGAATAAAAAAAAATAAAAATTTACGGTTGGAATCGAGGTTTTTTGGCGAACATCCACACTTGCCAACCCAGGAAATTGATTTGAATTGCTAAAATTATTAATCTAATAAGTAGAAAATAATTAAATATGAAAAACATTTTTAAAAACCACGTTTTTCCGGTGTTTACAAAACTAAAAATAATGAAATAAAACAAATAAAAAAAAACTTTAAAAAAACACGTTTTCTTAACGGACAAAAAAAAACATTTATTCTTACATAACATTTTACATAACTTTAATGTTATATAAGAGTTGATGTTTTTTTTGTCTGTTAAGAAAACGTGGTTTTTAAAAGTTTTTTTATCTGTTTTATTTCATTATTTTTAGTTTTGTAAACACCAGAAAAAATTGT